TTACTAAGAATTGAATTTCAAGAATAAAATGCAAATAAACTACTAACCAACCGGTGACATACGAAAGACCTCCAAGATGGTTGCTTCCGTAAATGGCATCCTTTCCTTGTCCTCCATCTTGGCAACGCGATCTTGACCTATGACCTTGAATAAAACGGCAATAAATATAATGCCGATAAAACCGTGGATCTAGTAAAATAGACATACACCCCATTTCCATAGATTAGATCGACCTACTTTAGATCGACCTAACTCCCTGGGGGTTCACGCTAAATAGCTGTCAGCCGGGCGGACACGAAGGTTAATTACCCCCTTACAGCTTGTAGTAGGCGGGACGGACATTTAAGTCGGATTATCTGAAAGTAATCTAGTGAGACTCCCCGCGGGGATAGATCGATCTAAAATCTATGGGAATAGAGCCATAAACTGCTAATAATGCCAATAGTTTGGCACCCCAAATAGCCTTCTTTCTCTATCTGTCACCATATTTGTTGTTACCTGATCAATTTCCTGCTGGACCCTCTTCTGAACGTCCGGATGATTTACCATATGAACCAGGGACCATCTCAAAGTATTTGCTGTTGTGTCAGTTCCAGCCAAATATAGATCAACGATGATGCGAAATACGTTCCATTCTGAAATAGTTAATAGACTGAAAAATATTTTTATTATTTCTTTGGGAAAATGTAACCAGACGTCTACTCACTATTTATTCGTCACGTAAATCAAGTGAAACCGGTTTCAGACAGGTTCTTTAACATGACCTTTAACAGCTACCTGGTACGTACCTGTGTAGACCTCGGGATCATGTCCATCTTGTGTGACCTTAATGTAGAGGTCAATGAAGTCCCGGATGTCAGCTGGATCAAAGGACTGGCGGTGACGTTCGACTTCTTGTCGTATCAAACTATATAGCTTGTCAATGAGAGCGAATACCTTTTTCATCTGTAATTACAATTATTTAATTATATTAATCAAACCACAGCCTTGTGCTAAGTGACATTTTATGCCACTTCTATTAAATGAAATGCTCAAATTATGATTAAGATTTACTGGACATTATATATATATTAAAGTTATAACATGAAAAATGAAAAATGAATAGGTAAAATGAACAACACATAAAAAAGACAAGAAAGAAATTATTTACCGGTAAAATGCGCGACAAGTTAGTGAGGGACAGTATTCCCTGGCCAGTCCTTATGGCTTGCTCCAAAACTGGCAGCATTTCTGGGGTGTCATTATAGTCATTTCTGAAATCGTTGGCAACAAAATGAACTTTTTTACATAAAAAAAGTTATAACACGGTGGTTCAGATTACTTTGTGCTCTTTACATTCTGTAAAAATATCAATCGATTCTATTGTAATGTTTTTTTTTCAACAAAAGGCCGTCGTAATATTTTTTCCAACTTTTTTTGCCTTTAAGTACCGGTACCTGCAGCATATTCACTTTCTACTAACAGTCATTATTTGCATTTTAACAGTAAATGGACAATGAGTTTTTTTTTTTTTTTTTTTTTTTTTTTTTTTTTTTTTTTTTTTTTTTGGTTTACCTGGCTCCAAACACAATGATAGAAATAATATTGCTGACAGCTTTCCCAATCCTGCCTGTGGGACAGAAAGCCTTCCCATTTTCATCTTCAATGTTTTGTACCAAATATCGAGCTTCATCCTGAATTCTTTCTTGTAAACTTTTTCTCCCGAGGCCGAGATCTCGAAGAGACGAGAGCGTGAATCTCCTCAGCTCTTTCCATGCGTGCCCGGATTTAAATATTACGCCAGCCCCTGCAGTTTATATAATTATCAATTTGTTAGCCAGTATAACTTCTTTATATACATGTGTGCATCCTTACAATTTACGTTTTTCTCTTTCTGCACACACTAGCTTTATAATATTAACACCAGATGAACACGCGATAAATTATATGTACAGTTTTGTTTCTGATAATAATAAGATTGGGCCATTACTAAGAGTATCTTAAGCCATCAGATTTGATCATCTGATCTCTTCTTGAGTTACACAGGCTCAGGTGTGACGGGAATGATAGTCCTTGGAATGTTAGTCCGGAGATAGTCGGGGTTAGTCGCATTATTGGGGTAAGTGTATGGTCGCATTCACATCGAGTTGAGCCATGGCTCTACAAAGCCACGACCTAAAACTGGCGGACGCACATGAAAGGAAAACAGCCTAATCTTTTAATATTCTCTCCGCCTCTCACACGCCTCCCCATGTGTCGTTCCAATGGAGCCGAGATTTAATGACTGTACCCCCTGCAGGGTACCATTCCTGTCACACCGGCAACAAGGCGTATGTGAAATCACCCGCCTCCCACTGTGTTCGAATGTCACCAGCACAAAATAATGGGGAACGGACCACGGTCCACTGGCCGTCTCGAGCCCTTGACTCCAGAGTGGCGCCCCAATTAGGTAATAAAGGTGCAGTTTGCTTTGATGCCCAAGACATCATCCAAATTAACTAGCCTATCCGTCTAGAATTATCCAACATAACAAGTATGTAGTTCGGTCTAATAGTTTTTTTTTTTTTTTTTTTTTTTTTTTTTCTTGAGGATCTGAAGTAATAAAATTTTAAAGGGATAATAACCCTTCGTTTTGGCCAAAAATGAATTTTCCTGGAGTAAACAATAATTTTCCCATACTTACCAATGGTTAATGAATCCATTTTTACATTCAAAGTTAGTCCCTGGTTTTTTTTCTAAAAAGTTTGGTTTTTTGTTAAAATCTCTTAAGAGATTATAACAGAGTATAGCCATCAATGGAGGTCACGTGATCTGAAGACAAGCTCAGATATCAGAATAATAGCTATAACTGCTGTTTTTGTGGTAAAACAGAATATATTATATTTCTATGAGTTATTCACTATGTTTTTATCGTGAAATATAGATTTCATACGAAGAGTTATTATCCCTTTAAGGAATGTAATTTATCAATTGTCCAATGAATGAAAACAAACCTCTAGAAAATTACCTACTCAAGTTAATCTAAATAACATGAGGAAACTGATTAATCCCTAATGTTTAATTAGGATACCATCCTGTGAACTTCGTGTGTGCTGCGGGAATAAATCACTATAAAAATGTTACTTTCACGTGTGGTTAAGATGCCATTCTTTTAGCTTCTGTTAATTATCCTAGGCTACTGTCCAACATTTTTAATCTTTTGCACCCCCCCCCCCCCCACCACCAAAAGCAAAATCTTAGGGCTACAGGATACCTGAGTGCCTGCCTGGTAGTTTTAAGATCTCGTGCTTACCGTCCTTCCCAACTATTCGACTCAAACGATATATCCAAGTTGGTCTAGCACTGACTGTGGCTGCATTCTTCACGAAAGCCTCTTGGATCAGCTCATAAGTCCCCAGCATTATCGCGTGTTGCTCACCAAATTTAACGTGCATGATATCTCCGTATGTATCATACCATGGAAGAAGATCCGTAGGTTGTCTTCTCCTACCGCTGATCATCATCTGTGGGAGACATCCCACCACGGGGAAACAGAGAGGTCCGGGCGGCCAGTTCACCCGAGGATTCCTCGACGACAGCATCCACAGACTTAACAACAGCACTACCACGAATATCAAAACTGTTGGCAGGCCGGCAGTTGAAAAATACTGGAAGAGACTCTGTACGACGTTAGCCATTTGATGTCTCTTGGTTAAGACCGCGAAGTGCTTGATGATGACTTAATATAGACTACAATTTTTCAATCTCCGCAATGTAAGAACTAGAATGGCAGTGGACACATTGCGGTCAAACGCTTAATAACCAACACGGGTCAAGGCCAGTTCCTGCATTCTTTTATCTGAGATACCTGTATGTATGCGTATTATATATAACAATCAACACCCGCTGCGAACCCCCTCCACACTGCCCACTGAGCAATGACGTTAACTCCAGACAGACAAGGGACAATTAAGGCTGTGAATATCTATTGAAGAATCTCCTCGCTGGGGTCGTTAGAAGTCTCTTAATTACAAAATTGTTGAATCTCTTTCATCTCTGTGATCTGTACCAGAGGGTCTTGTGATATTAGAGGGTGTGAAAACTTCAACCTGTGGAACTGGTAGAGATCACAGCGTACAGGTAGCCTACATGCACAGGGATGCTTCGCCTTGATGAAGAGTAAGTCCTTCTTAACCCAGAACTGCAACCTTTATCACCGCTTTGTGCCTCTCTTGTGTGACCAAAGATATACCGAGGACGCTGAAGGGTCGACAGCACCAGAAACCCGTGTTTCTGTGTAAACACCCTGTTTCCTCGGGTAAGAGATTTGAATGAGTATTAACTTTTATCAGAAGCCAGAGAAGTCATCTTACAGGTAGACAATGCAGCTCAGTTTGACAGCTAAGCACGCTCTGTTCTCCAGTGGCTCGATTGTCGTCATCGGACCACGTGACCACGTAGCTCATTAAATCCCAGGCCGAGCAAATAGGACGTGTTTTAAAGCCAAAAATTTACAAAATGAGCTTTTAATTTGTGTATTTGGATAAAGATATCGTTAGTTGGGCATGTTTTCTGAAGAATATGTTCCGTTGAGGCCATTCTGACGGTATGAAGCAAATCCTTTAACAATAAGATCTGTGATGTTTCTGTGTGTCGGATTATGACTCAATTCAAGGCTTTGTAAGAGCCCATCCAGAACAGCAGACTAACAGACCCGCGGATCAAATATGGCGACCCATTAAAAAGCCTGCAGCTTAATTCCCGATTGAACACTGAATAAATTCCCCTCGGGGATTACGCAACAAGCATTCAAGCGGGTCAATAATATTTGAAACGCGGATCTGTTAGTTCGCTGTTCTGAATGCGCTTTAAAACTAACATTAAGCGACCTGTGCGTCCACTGAGCCACGTTATTGTGTACAACCACTGCATGTATGCCACCTGTGGAACTTAAGGGCTACCTAAGGGCTATCGGTCTAAGTAAATCGATCCAACTCTGCGGGGACTCTCGCTGAATGCAATCAGTTTAACAAATTAACACGGGCCCTCCTGGGGTTAAGTAGAATACAGAAAAGCTAGTGATTATACAAGTACGTTGGAAACAAGAGGTGGAGTGTCATTCAGTTAGGCTGATTGCACTTTGCGGTGGAAAGTTCCCGCAGAGTTGGGTTGAACTACGTAGCCCGATAGTGTCTATGGGAATCGGGTCTATGAGCGCATTCAGATTCACACATCATACTAGCTGGGTCGATCCAACTCTGCTGGGGATTCTCGTTGAAGTGCAATCAGAGGAATCAGCTTAATTGTCTTACTCGTCTCCTTGAGCAGCTATAGGGAGTAATTAACTATAGTGTGCTGATTAAGCTGATTCCACTGATTGCACTTCAGCAAGTATCCTCTGTAGAGTTGGGCCGATCCAGCTAGTACGATGTGTGGATGTGAATGCCCCCTATGGCACAAGACAATAGAGACGACCCTGGAACATTAATGTATCCTGTGATGTCAGGGGCTTGTACAATAAAATAATATACAAAATTTAGGTATAAGCCCGTGTGGGAAAACATTCACTTCAACAGTCTGGTGCAATGAAACTACCTCCCCTACCCGCCCCTTAAACAGTGGCACTGCAGTACAGAAGGATATTGTTACCCTCTGTTATCAGCCCCCCTAAAATACGCTACATAATCACGCTGATTTTCAATATTTTTGTACCAGACTAGCGCACCCTGTGGTCAGAGAGTAGATAATTGTAGGGTTGGGTGTAATCACTCAGCCGGGTAGATCTGTCTGGACTACCCTCTACCCTGTATTTTTGTGGACAGTTTTTGCTGAGGCAATTGTGTTTTGACATCAGACCAAAATGATTGTCTATTTATCTAGAGACATATCTGTGAAAAATCAACCTGTCGCCCTGGTAGAGGGTATATCTGGACCAAGTCTGAGACTTCTCGCTATCTTTTGATATCGTGGGCTTCTTAAATAGTGTACAGAAATTAAAATATGCATTACGTATCATGGGGATGCTGTACTCTGCGCCTACTGTACGTGTAACGCCCCCCCCCCCCTCCGCTGTCAAATATAAAGGGTATGTCCGGCTAGGAATGCGTTCCTGTTGATTACTCGAAATATTCTTGTGTTCCACACAACACTTTTGTAACAGACTACCAGTGCACCTTGTTATCAGGCAACGCATATGCAAACATGAATAAATACAGCAGTCAATTTTCAAATATACGAACTCTGTTTATCTTTAACAAATAATTTTATTCAAATATAATTAAATGATAAGCGAATTTACAATCGGGCGTCTCAATATGTAATGCTGTCTAACCTAACCATAGTGAGAAATACTACGCAACTGTGTGATTTTGTTTTATCTTATTTAACTAACTTAAGTAGCTATAAACAAAACGTGTTTATTTAGCAAGCCTCCGTGTGTTTTGTTCTGTGTAGGTTTTTATCCTACAATGAGACATATTTTTAATTTAATTTTTAATTTAATTTTTCAATAACGGCTTGGCAAAATACTAGCATGGTTTAGTAAACAGTACAAAACGAAGAAGGCATAAACGTATACAGAGCTTATAACAGCGGGTCACATATTATGCATGCATCTACAGCAAATATACTTCATACACAAAATCTTTAACAACTTCCACAGGACCTTCATGTACACTGTGCCCTGCGTCTCACCATATACTTGCCTCTGGTATATACATGTAGATTGCACCTTAAATGATTAAAATAATAACTGATAGACTTTTATTTCATTTTTTAA